TGGGGTTGGGGGGTGGGGGCACACTCTGACCACTGATTTGGCCGATTCCGGTTGGTTGAGTGAGGGCTGGGGGCTAGTGACGCAAGGGCAGGGTGCAGCTAGGGTCTGGTTACACAAAGACAGGGGGGTGGCTAGCATACTCTTGGCCTTGGGCTGGTTTTCCCCACTTTCCCATTGGCCGAGATAAGGGCAGGCTGAGTAACTGATACATTCTGCGGCTTTTTCTTGGAAGAGGGGTTAAGGACACAGCTATCAGTCCTGTTCTGTCCTTTCACCACCACCAGCATAAGCCAGTAAATTACTACTGAAGGCTGCAACCCCTCACTCTGTATTTATATCTTAGTGCCTGAAAATGAATACTTATGCATTGTCAATATTTAGGGTAAACACTCCATCACTTGGTGCCATGTGGTCGCAGCACGTTACACAGGCTCGCCGAGACATTCCTCTCCCACCTGGTTTGCCAACTCCAAGGCTTCCAAGTGGGTCCTGGGCTAGGAGCCCTTGGAAGAGCCCCCACTGTCATCTGCAGGCTCAGGTGTCTCAGGGGAAGTGGAGGGAACAAAGGGCCAGGCCAGTCTCCCCTTGAGTCTCAGGCCCTACTCAGAAGCAGGGTCAACACACCCTTACTTTATAGACCAGCAGCCATTGCTCAGAGGTTAGGTGGCCCTGGAAGGGTCACACAGCATCTTCTCTGAGCCAGAGTTCCTCCCTCCACCACCCCCAACATGGGGTAACTTGCTCCTAACCAGGGAAAGGGGCAGAGTTGGACTGTCCCAGCCGCCAGATCTTTCTTTGTATATGTTCACATGAGATCTGCCTCATCCTGGCTCTGACTCTCTCTCTCCCTCTAGATCCCGCTCTATGTCTCTGGGCCTATCTGGCTCTCACTGGCTCAGTATCACATCTTTCTCTGACTCTTTCTTAGTGACTCTGCATCTCTCTCATCCCTGGTCCCTGTATCTCTCTATATCACTCCCACCCACCCCACCTCCCTGCTTTCCTGGCTCACATCCTTTTTCTCCCTCAGAGTCCCTGTTTTTGTCCACCATTGTCACCCGGACTTTGTCGTAGGGATGAGATAAGGGCAGGGTTGGGGAAATTGTCCTGGTGTCAGTGGGGGCCTCCTAGGCAGTCATGTCTCCCCAAATCCTAGCCCAGTGAAAAGAGAGCCGCCGCAGCCCCTGAGCCAATGAACCCACATAGAAGTGAAACTGAGGGTGGGAGGTTTCTGGGGGCCGATTTCTATTCAATGAAATCAACTGAAAGACAGTGAGTCCTCCATCCCCAGAGCTGTGCAGAGGGAGCTCTGCAAGATTGTGACAGCAGTCTAACCACTTACCTTGTCTGAGTGGTGAGGTCCCTGGGTCTGCCTTGAGTGGAAAGGGTTAATGCTCTGGGCCATGAGGGTCTCCCAACCTGATCCCACCCCCTCTTCACATTCACCCCTCTAGCTGCCCCCCCTTCCTCCCTGCTCCTTATCCCTCATTTCTTCCTTTTCTCCCTCTGTCAAAAATGATAATTCATTAACGTGTCCTCAGCTCCTGTCTCCTCACATCCCCCAGGGAATTAGACAGTCCCTGCACCTTGAGCCCTGTGAGATTCCAGGAACATACTACTTGTGCATGCTGTTGCATGGACCTGTCATGTAGGTGTTCCTGCATACAAAGGGCACACTGCATTCTCCTGCATGTTTCTGCAGGTTCACCAATCTGGACACAGCTGTGCACAATGCCACATGCACTCCTGGGTCTGCAGACACATCAGACTGTGTGTGTGAATGCACACAGGAGTCTCTTGGTGTGGATGCTTGTCTACATTCGCATGTGCACCTGCACCTGTGCACTGTATGTCTTCCCATTGAAATCCACCTCTATGTGTACATGGCTATGTATTAAATCTGTACTAGGACAGTGTGTCTGGGTAGGTACATGTTACCATGCTAGTCTGTTTGGGTACAGACACATGTGTTTGTGTTCTGCATGTGTGTATGTGTGTGCATGTGCATACACTTAGATATGCACATCTCACAATTGTGCACTGGTGTACGAGTGTGTGTGTGTGTGCACATGTGCCATGTATGTACATGAACATGGGTGTGTGTGCAGTGTACACACAACCTGACTACGTTGCACACACATACCTCCTTTCTGGCTCCACAGTAAGAGCCATTCTGTCTCATCTCTGGGGTGTTGATGGTGGCAACAGTGGCAGGGCAGATGGCAGGAGCTCAAAAGTAGAAGGTGGCAGTGTTACAGGGAAGACACTCACTAATGAGGCCGCTTGCCTTGCCAGCCTGGAAGCTGGTGCCACTAATTATCACCTCAGTAAGCAGCTCCCCAGGGAAGGGCTGCTGCTTGCACCCCACTCTTCCCCTCCCCTAGGACTTCTTTCCCCACTTATTTCCAGTCTTGAGGCACTACAGGAGCCACAGGCACCAAGAAGGGCAGCTAGAGCACAGGGTTGTGCCTAGTCCCACTAGGAGACTCAGGATACGTGCATGCCTGCCCATTATGCTGCTGCCAGGAAGCCCACTGTCTCTGTGTTAGAGCACATTCTCCAAAGGGCCTCTGGGATTCATGTGCTTCTGGGGGAAGGGAGGCCTACATAGCCTGACCAGTTCCTCCACAAACAATGAGCATGCTTCTGTAAAATGAGCACTAGGCTGAGAGTCAGATGAGCTGGCTGATAATTTCAGCTCTGTGTGATCTTGAGGAAGTTCCTGTGCCTTTCTGGGCCTTGGTTTCCTTGTCTGTAAAATAAAGTAAGAGGACTAATGCCACTTTTCTCAAAGAATGATGTATGCATCACTGGTGAGAAACAAGACTATTTTAGATAGTATACTGATAGCTTTTGCTATTTTAATTATGTATTTATTTTCACATATCTATTCTCACATGTGTGTTTAACTAGCACATCAGACCCCTAGTATCACAAATATTGCTTAACACAAGGCTAAAACACACACTTAAATTTTAAGAGTGAGGTAGTTTAAAGAAAAATGTTAAGTAAATAAGAAAGGCAGGCATCAGAGCATGACACAAGTCCTAGGGGTAGTTGGTGAATGACTGCAGCCTTCTACACAAGGGTCTATGAGGCCCTCCCTGCCAAAAAGACAGTGGGTTTGGGGCCCTAGATGTCCTGGAATAAAAATATACAGACTCCAGAGAGATTCGAAGATGGTGGCAGATTAAGTGGAAGCTATGCTGACTCTCCCAGGACCAAACTGGAATTACAACTAAAATATAGAAAAACTGCCCTAGCTGGTTTGGCTCAGTGGATAGAGCATTGGCCTGCAGACCTAAGGGTCCCAGGTTCAATTTCAGTTAAGAGCACATACCTCAGTTGCAGGCTCTTCCCTGGCCTGGGCCATGGTCAGGGCTCATGCAAGAGACAACCAATCAATGTGTTTCTCTCACATCAATATTTACCTCTGTCTTTCCTTTTCTCTTCCACACTCTCTCTAAAAATCAATGGGAAAGATTCTTAGGGGAGGAAATAATAAATAAATAAATATAGAAATACCATCCTGCATAATCAAGACTAGCTGGAGAGAACCCTGATAACCAAGGACGGAAAGTGGAGACCACATAGAGACTAATAAGTAGTGTGGAGGCATGAGCTAGCTAGGCTCCAACAGGCAGTAGCCAAAGTTCCAGAGGGATAGCTCAGCTGTGGGGGATTCCCACTGAGAACTCTGGAGTCTAAACCTCAAGCTGGACTTTCCAACCCAGAGCACCAGAACTGAGAAAGGTGTCTACATAACATCTGGCTGTGAAAAGCAGCAGGAAGAAACAGCTGGAAATGCAGGCACCCTCTTAATGGGCCAATGCACAAAATTTCATGTGCAGCCACTCACTTTGGGCTCTGGCAGAGGGCAGAGTGGAATGAAGTTGTGTGAAGAGAGTCCAAGGATGGGGGCTCTAGGGTCGGAGCTTGAAGTGCAGCCACCCTGGTTTCCTGTACTGAGTCATTTCCTCACTCTGTGGAGGACATCTTTCTCAGGCAGACCTTTGCTTTCCAGGTGGTTTTTTGCCTGGGGGGAAAGGCAGTTGCCCCACCCTATTGGAAGACCTCTCGTCCCACCCTGTGGTCAATAGCCTGAAGTTAATCTAGCCTGAATACAATCAGACTGCGGGCATAGGTGGGTCTCTGGAAGCTTTGAGTCTTTGCCTGATCACCTTCTGGGCCCAGAACTAAGAAAAGCAGACCATGGTGCACATCTTGGTCCTTTCCAAAATCACCCAGTCCAAGCAGAGGGAGCCACAAACTGAGCATTGCTGATAGCTCCAAACAGGATATTCAGGGGCAGTCACAAACAGCATCTGACATTATCCTGCACCAGAGACTATCAAAAAAGACTGAGAGTCATAGCATATCTACTTAATACATAGAAACAACCCCACGCAGGCAGCCAAAATGGGAAGACAAGAAAACAAGCCCCAAATGAAAGAACAAGAGAATTTTCCAGAAGAAGAGCTAAATGAAATGGAGATAAGCAATTTATTAGATATAGAGTTCAGGATAATGATTATAAGAATGCTCAATAGTATGAGAAAAGATATACAAACAATGAAAAATGACCAGTTGGAAATGAAGAATGACATAGAAGAAATAAAGAATTCATTGGAAAGAATGAACAGTAAATTAGAGAAAGCTAAGGATCAGATTAGCAAATGAGAAGACAGGGTAGAAAAAAAAGTCACTCAATCAGAAAACCAAAAAGAAAAAAAAAATTGAAAAACAGGAGGAAAGCTTAAGGGAGTCATGGGACAATATGAAACAGCAATAGGAGTACCAGAAGGTAAAGAAACTGAGCAAGGGTTAGAGAACCTGTTTGAAGAAATAATGGCAGAAAATTTCCCTCACCTGGTAAAGGAAAAAAAAAATCACACAAGTTCAGGAGGCACAAAGAATCGCAAGCAAAAAGGCCCAAACAGGCCCATGACCAGACACACCATCATTAAAATGCCAAAAATTAAAGACAAATAGAGAATCTTAACGGCAGCAAGAGATAAGCAATTTGTTACCTACAAAGGAGCTCTTATAAGGCTGTCAGCTGATTTCACAAAAGAAACTCTACAGGTAAGAAGAGAATGGCATGCAGTATTCAAGGTAATGAAAAGCAAGGATCTGAAACCAAGACTACTCTATTCAACAAAGATATCATTCAAAACAGATGGGGAAACAAAGTTCTTCCCAGACAACCAAAAGGCTAAAGGAGTTTATCACCACTAAATTGGCATTGCAAGAAATGTTAAAGGAACTGTTGTAATAACAAGAAGAAATATATATAAAGAGAAACATAGGCACAAAGAATTAAAATGGCAATAAGTAAGTACCTATCTAGCCCTAACCGGTTTGGCTCAGTGGATAGAGTGTCAGCCTGCAGACTGAAAGGTTCCAGGTTCGATTCCGGTCAAGGGCATGTACCTTGGTTGCGGGCACATCCCCAGTAGGGGGTGTGCAAGAGGCAGCGAATCGATGTTTCTCTCTCATCGATGTTTCTAACTCTCTATCCCTTTCCCTTCCTCTCTGTAAAAAATCAATAAAATATATATTTTTAAAAAAAATAAGTACCTATCTATAATAATAATAGCCCAGGTGGTCATCACACCCTCACGTTGTCACAAGATGGCTGTCACAAGATGGCCATGTGCACAGTGGAGGCAAGGCCTGGCAGCCGCTCCGCACAGTAAGGCCTGGGAGTCCAACGGCTCCGCACGGCACAGAGGAGGCTGGTCCCGGCAGAGGAGGCGGGTCGCAGCAGGGGAGGACAGTTGGGGGTGATCAGGCCAGCAGGGGAGGGCAGTTAGGAGCAATCAGGCAGGCAGGGGAGTAGTTAGGCATCAATCAGGCCAGCAGGGGAGTGGTTAGGGGGCAATCAGGCTGGCAAGCAGAAGCGGTTAGGGGCAATCAGGCAGGCAGGCAGGCGAGCAGTTAGGAGCCAGCAGTCCCAGATTGTGAGAGGGATGTCCGACTGCCGGTTTAGGGATCGGGCCTAAACCAGCAGTCGGACATCCCCCAAGGGGTCCCAGATTGGAGAGGGTGC